AATTTTATCCCATTATTGACCATTGAAAGAAGGGCAACCACTTTCTCATTTATAGTCTGGAAAGAAGGTTTTTAATGATAGTCACACATGCATTGCATTATGGCTGAAAAGACAGACTTTCAATTTACCCTTTTTTCCCTGTTTTTTCAAGAAATTTGGTAATTATCTGTATTTTATTGTATCTACAATAGATATGCTACCATTTGCTGACCTCTAAATGTCTTAAGTGAAATTTGGAAAGACAAAATTTTTAAATTATGTCAGTTTTCTGCTTATCTGTGCCTAAAGGAAATTTTACTTTCCTCATATTTAGGCATGTTATTTCCAACCTTCAGTTTGTATAATTAGAAAAAGTTGAATTCTTTTCTTTGTCCCATTTCTTAGTTGACGAAGGATCAGAGATTGGTGTATTCGGGCAGACTGCTTCCCGATCATCTGCAGCTGAAAGACATTCTCAGAAAAGTAAGCTTTTCTACCACTGTTTGATACCAGATACATTCAGAGTGTGAGAGGAGATATATTCTGAAGTTTTATCAATATCCAACCAGTTCAGTTTTTAGATAGTTAAAATCAACCCTTTGGGTAGCATAACAGGTAAACATGAATTGGAAAGTAAAGAACGTAATGATAGATTCTGATTAGTTTAGCTAACAGTTTTGTATATCCAGTGGTAGCTAAATCTGAAATAGGATTATAGATTTTGCGTTCTGGTATTTGTCATCTTGTATAAGAAAGCATTATTGACTTATCAATAGTGCAGGAGTAGAGTCTTCAAGTAGTGCTGAAGGATTTTCATTGATAACAGTCTCCTTTCTTAAATCCCCCTTTGACCAAACTACATGACGTTTTAATGCAAGTTGCTTGGGTTGGGAGTTTAATTTCAGGACAGGAAATAGAAGGAAGTCCAGTTGGTCCATCAGTTAGCAAACTTTACATGCTGGTGCTCAGAGCTAAAATCTATTTCAATGTAGTTTTTTGACAGTTTGAATGCTAGTTATTTTAATGGCAGCTTTTAGCTCATGTTCATTTGTGGAATTTATACTTTTTGAACTTTTCTGTATTCGAGATGCTGCTTTTTTGTTTGTGAATGTGGCAGAGTTGAATACATAGCTTTTATGTGTCGTCTTAGGTCTTGAACTTAACTCTTAATATTGTTCTGGATATCCCTAATCTGATTTAGAAGGTCCATATCTGCTCCTGTATGTTTATGATCACCTGTGGGAGACTTTATAAAAGCTTGTACTAGTATATTCCTTCTGTTTAGATAGTTGACATTTTAGCTTTGCCAGTGTCACTTTTTGCTGTCATTTTCATTTTAATCGTATAGTTTTAGTTTGTCAAAGTGGTTTAATAACCTGTCTCTCAAAAAGAGTGAAATTTGCGGATTTTTTTCCTCTTTCTCTTTTTTTGATAGACTATTTTTTAGAGCAGTTTTAGGTTCATAGCAAAATTGAGTGGAAGGTACAGAGATTTCCTGTATACCTCCTGCCTCCACACATGCACAGCTTCCCCCACTAATGACATTCTACATTAGAGTGGTACATTTGTTGTGATTGACGAACCTAGATTGACACATCATTATCACCCAAAGCCCATAGTTTACATTAGGGTTCACTCTTGGTGTTGTACATTCTATGGTTTTAACAAATGTATAATATAATGACATGTACCCAATATTATAGTATCATACAGAATAATTTCACTACCCTAAAAATCCTCTGTGCCCCACCTGTTCACTTTTTTTTTCCTGTTTTTATGCTTAAAAACCTTTCTGCTATATGCTCTTGGAAATATAGATTTATTTATTATTTTAACCCAAGGATAACTAGAGTCTGCACATGAATACTTTTTAAAAGGTTTTTGCTGGCAGAAATGGTTTCTGATCAGAAGACTTAAAAATGCTTCAGTCAAAGGACTGTTGTTCTCCTTATATAAAACATTTTGAGCAATATGTTTACATTTTAAATGGATCTTTGAACTGTTTTTGTTAAAGTCAGTGTACCCCTTTACTGTTTTTAGTTAAATCCTGCCGTTAGCTTTACCTGTTTAGTTATAAAATGTTTTACAGAAGCATTTTCCAAAGGTGAATGAATACCATGAGTTAATTGTGATTAATATGACCTTTGAAACTGGGTTTCTAAGGATAAACATCTTACACTTGGATGATTTTTAATATTCTGTGTTCCGAAGCTAAGGGGACATTATAAATCAGGCGTGCCTTCTACCCACTTTGCTGGGCGTATCTCATGTCATGCCATCTCTAGAAATGCCTTTCCCTAACATTCTGACCCCCATTAGCTTCTTTCTCCAAATTATTAAACCAGTTGTAGTTTGTGCTTCTCAGTTTTGTGCACAAGACTGTTTTATATATTTCTCTAATTGTGCTCTAATGTGCTAGTCTGATCTTTTAACAATGTCATGAGCCTCTTTAGGGAGGTGCTGACTCTTGCTTAAATTAAGCACGATTCTAGGTTTATGGTAGGCAGTTGATAAATTCTTAGTTTCTAGAAGCTTTGTATCTCTTTCTCACAACTGGGCACCTTTCTTTTCTTCCTGCCCCCTTCCTTCATCATTCTCTGTTTTTTTCTTTTCTTTCTCTTTTTTAAGTTCCGGAGCCATCCTTCGTTCTTCTCTGCCCTCCTTTATTGTTTCCTTTCTCCATTTATTTACTTGCTTTATGCCTAAGTATAAATATACTCATGAAATCACTAAGCTAAAATGGCAATCCTAATCATTATTAGAATATTTTCCTTCAGTGATAGTTTTAAGTTTGTGGAAACACACGGGATATTTACAGAATATAGTTCAAATATATGCTTTATATCTGTGTATAAATGTTATAGATAAAAGCAGTTTTCGACTTAAAAAAGTAAACTATCCATCACCTTGCTAAAATTAAGGTAAATGAAATTATGGTAAAGTTATTTGAGTTTATTATAGCTGCGAAGTCTCAAGTAATGGAATTATTTTCACTACTCAGAGTTTGTAGGCCTAAGTTTCAATGTGACTATTACAGCTCTGATATTAAGGTGCTAGATGTTTTTATATTGAAATAATAGATTGCATTGACACAGCTTTATAGCACTGTTTGCTTCAAGACTCCTTGGTATACAAAGTAATCATTTTTTCATATAGGAATTACTAAGTATTTAGACCATTTTCTAAGCAGGGAGAAAATATTGAATTCAAAAGGGCCCCAAAAGCTAAAATGGTAAATTTGCCTTCAAATGACAATAATTTATTACTAATAAAATGGCTATGCTAGAAAGGAACTTAAGTTTTAAGTTAAGTATTTCAGCTTAGCTACTGACTTTCTGAACTATATATTTTCCAATACTACCCTTTAAATGCAATCTTCTTTAATTTTAGCAAGATGAGTATCATATGGTTCATCTAGTATGTACTTCTCGGACTCCTCCCGGTTCTCCAAAATCCAGCACCAGTAAAGAGAGTCATGAAGCGTTGGCATCCAGCAGCAATTCTGTGAGTTGTTATGGGAGGAGTAAGCGTTAAAGTTTTCTGATTATCCTCTTTTGCCTTAAAACTAAGTGGAAAAACAGAACAATTAGAACTTGTGGGTTGTGAGATTGTATTTTGAACAGCTTGAGTTGGCATTTAAACTTCATTTTTAGAGATCCAGTATACAGTGTTATCCCTTGAAGCCTGTTCCCCATGAGTTATAATTTGCTGTGTGGCAGGTCAGTAACAGATCCAGTCTTCAGGGGTTTAATTACTGACATACTCAGAAAGCAGAATTATGATATGGTTATATAATATAACTTTACTGGAGCCAGTAAAGTTTCAAAAATATTTAAGGTATTTAATATAGTATATTTTATTCAAAGTGGATTAAATTATTTAAATTTTAAGTATGCTAAATCTTCTTGAAGTAGATTGCTTGGTTAAGAATTTTCTTTTTTAAAATGAGTAGGTTTGGGCATACATTCTAACTGCAAGAGGAAAAATTACTTAATGTACTCAGCTTTTTCATACTTGGGTATTCATTTCTCCCTCCTTATTTTTCCATCTGCCTAAAATTGTTTTGGATATTTTTTTTTAATAGTTGAACTTTTCAACTTAGGCATTCTCTATAAATTTGAAAGACACTGTCCCAAATCCTTTTACGTTAAATTATTTTTAGTTTCCCATCAAAGCTTTATATGACACCTTTGGAGGTGAGAGAAAAGGATTGGGTGAGTGGAAGCTGGCTTTAAACTTCTTGGGCGGGGAATTTTTATAGTGCTAAGTGCTGTAGTGCTACTTTCCTTCTTGTCAAGAATCTAGCCAAAACTTTAAGGAGGGGATGAGTGGCAGGGGTGATAGCATGTTGAAAGATCTTCCAGTAGATACTAGTTAACTACTGCTTTAAGAAACAAGATCTTCTAGTTGCTGTATTTAATTAATATGGCCTCAATGGCATGTATTTTCTAGTACCAGCCATGAGAATTTAGCTTACATTAACTGAAATATGTTTTGTCAGTAAACCCAAGGGTCTTTTTATATGTTTCCTGTCTTGTGTAAGAAGGGACAAAACATTGACATTGGCGTAGAGTTCTCTGTATGGTCTTTGGACACAGTTATGTTGCTCCAGTTTTTGTTGAGAAAGAACCCTCTGACTTGTCTAGTGCTTCCTCAGCCATGATTTCATGTCATTAGTATATATATTCAGTTTTTTCAAGGCGTGTTATGAAAATCTAAAAAGTATCAAAGGAAAATTAAGTTGAATTCCCCTTAATTTTTTATGGCTGAGAAATTTCAGTGGGACTTGAAAAAAATCTTAAAAATCTAGTCATGAAAGAGTTATCTAATAGGATCAGAAATCATTAGTTGTAGAGAAATTAGGCTATACTGCCAAATAGCTAGGCCTTTCTTCTATTAATTTTTTAATGAACACCATATTATGATGGTCCATTTAATGAGCTATCTTGCCACAAAAGAAGTCCTTCCCAGTTTATGTCCTTAAGAAGCAGACTCCCTAGTAAGATATTTGATATCTGTTTTATGTGGAGTAACATCTTAAAGAAAGCTTTTATTAGTTTTGCAAAAGAACAGTGTCCTTGGGACTTTTTACATAGCAAGACTTAGGAAGGTAGACATGAAAAAACACGTCAATAGGAAGGCAAGATACAATTTCAACAAACTTAGAAGGATGTTAAAATTATATTGTACTTAGATGAAGTGGGAAAACTATAATTTATATAAAATGTAATTGTGTTTTAAATTTACATACATAAAACACTCGACAAACTATTTTCAAACAGCAACAAATTGAGGTGGTCTTTAAGGGGTTATACTGTTTAAGGTTATTGAATCTGTGAGTTACTGACATCACTGGAGAATGAGAATTTTAAAATCCTTATTGATATCTTGTTCATTTTGTAAAAAATATTTTTTGGTGGTGTTTATAAATGAATAGAATTTTAGAAGTGAAAGGAATCTTAAAAATCTAGTTTAATCTCATTTTTTTTGTAGGGAAACTGAGACTCAGGAGGTTAGGTGACATTTTAAGGTTATGTTCCTTGTTAATGTCGGAGATAATATCAGATCCTAGATTTTCTGATTTCTAACACGTTCCTCATTGTTTTAAACCAATGTGTTACCAGTAGCGTGTTATACAGTACCTGGCACATAGTAACTGTTTAAATGATACAGTAATTAGTACCATTTATTGAGCACTTCCAATGTGTTAGGCATCATGAAAAGAGTTTTGCATGCATTAATTTAATCCTCACAATTTTGTATGCTATTTTTTTTGTATACAGTTAGGTGCTGCATAACGACATTACTGTCAGCAACGGACCGCATGTACAATGGTGGTCCCATACAGTTAGTACCGTATAACCTAGGTGTGTAGTAGGCTATAGTCTCTTGGTTTGTGTAAGTACACTCTTTCGCACGACGAAATCGCCTAATGACGCATTTCTCAGAACTTATCCCTGTCTTTAAGTGACGTATGACTGTACAATTACTCTACTACTCAGCCTTTTCTAGTTGAGAAATGGACTGTTGTATAATTAACTGATTTTGATTTTCTGAACTCTTAATCTCATCAGAATTAAAATGCCTACCTGTTATGCTGGGCACAAGATTCAAATCAGTAACTTTCTAAAATTCACTCTTTGCTGAGGAATTTCATAAATACATTATTAGCAGTGTGTCTATAATCTCATATTGTAATGAATTAAATTTCCTTGAAAAAATAATTACATTTTTGTTTTTAGAGTTCAGATCAGTCAGGATCAACAACTCCATCATCCAGTCAAGAAACCTTGTCCTTAGCTGCCAGTTCTTCCTCAGAAGGATTGAGGCAACGTACCCTTCCACAAGCACAAACTGATCCAGCACAGAGTCATCAGTTCCCATATGTAATGCAAGGGTGAGTGAAATCGTGGTAGCTGTGGGCCTCTTAAAAATCTGTTACTCTTTTTTTTTTTTTAATTTTTTGTTTATTGCAGTAACGTTGGTTTATAACGTAAAAATTTCAGGTGTACATCGTTATACTTCTATTTCTGCATAGATTACATCATGTTCACCACCAAAATACTAATTACAACCCATCACCACACACATATACCGAATTATCCCTTTCACCCTCCTCCCTCCCCCCTTCCCGTCTGGTAACCACCAATCCAATCTCTGTCCCTATGTGTTTGTGTATTGTTGTTATTATCTTCTACTTAATGAAGGAAATCATATGGTATTTGACCTTCTCCCTCTGACTTATTTCACTTTGCATTATACCCTCAATGTCCATCCACGTTGTTACAAATGCCTGGATTTCATTGTTTCTTATGGCTGAGTAGTATTCCATTGTGTATATATACCACATCTTCTTTATCCATTCATCCCTTGATGGGCACTTAGGTTGCTTCCAAGTCTTGGCTATTGTGAATAACGCTGCAATGAACACAGGGGTGCATGTACCTTTACAAATTGGTGTTTTCAAGTTCTTTGGATAAATACCCAAGAGTGGAATAGCTGGATCATATGGTAGTTCTATCCTTGATTTTTTGAGGAATCTCCATACTGTTTTCCATAGTGGCTGTACCAGTTTGCACTCCCACCAGCAGTGTATGAGAGTTCCCTTCTCTCTACATCCTCTCCAACACATGTTGTTTCCTGTCTTGTTAATTATAGCCATTCTGATGGGCGTGAGGTGATATCTCATTGTAGTTTCAATTTGCATTTCCCTGATAGTTAGTGATTTTGAACATCTTTTCATGTGTCTGTTGGCCATCTGTATATCTTCTTTGGAGAAATGTCTGTTCAGGTCTTTTGCCCATTTTTTAATTGGGTTGGTAGTTTTTTTGTTGTTGAGATGCATGAGTTCTTGATATATTTTGGAGATTAAGCCCTTATCAGATGTATGGTTTGCAAATATCTTCTCCCAATTGTTAGGTTGTCTTTTTGTTTTGTTGATGGTTTCCTTTGCTGTGCAGAAGCTTTTTAGTTTGATGTAGTCCCATTTGTTTATTTTTTCTGTTGTTTCTCTTGCCCGGTCAGACATGGTGTTTGAAAAGATGTTGCTAAGACCGATGTCAAAGAGCGTACTGCCTATGTTTTCTTCTAGAAGTTTCACAGTTTCAGGTCTTACATTCACGTCTTTAATCCATTTGGAGTTAATTTTTGTGTATGGTGTAAGGTGAGGGTCTACTTTCATTTTTTTGCATGTGGCTATCCAGTTTTCCCAACACCATTCGTTGAAGAGACTTTCTTTTCCCCATTGTATGTTCTTGGCTCCTTTGTCAAAGATTAGCTGTCCATAGATGTGTGGGTTTATTTCTGGGCTTTCGAAAAAATCTGTTACTCTTGACTTTTGTGGTAGCCACTCTGCAGTAATCAAAGTACATTTGAAATTTATTCATATTCGCGGTTATATATTTTGAGGATTAGAGGGTTAAGTAGAGCAGTGCTTTTGAAGGCTGGTCATATATCAGAATCATCTAGGGCAGTGCTTTTCAGTCTTTAATGTTCGTGTAATCACCTGGGGATCTTGTTAAGATGTAGGTTCTGATTCAGTAGGTCTAATGGGGCCCGAGATTCTGCATTTCCAGCAAGCTCCCAGGTGATACTGATGCTTCTGATGCTTAGGCCACACTTGGAGTAGCAAGGATCTAGGTAATTAAAAAAAATTTGTTTTTCTCAATCTCACTATATAGCGACTTAAATTGGTCTTCTGGGGAGCAGATGGGTGAGTGAGGATGTTCTTAGAAGAGTAAAGGGCCCAGTAATCTGGGTTCAAAAAGTTCCACAGGTGTTTCTGATCAGCCAGGCTTGGTAACAACTGAGGTAGGGTAACACTGTGGTGTCTTATACAGATATGCTAAACATTGCATTTTATCCAGAGTCTTTGTTAGGGGAGTTTACTCAAGAAGCTTGCTATGGCTACCTTATATTTAGCAATAGCAGCATGCCTCTTGGGTTAGGCAGTTCCAGGGGAAAATGTAGCCAACAGCCACAGCAGATCTTTCAGACAGCTCAGAGAGTAGGATCTTAGAGAATACGGTTTGGACCTGGGTTATGTCTGAAACCAGAGTACTTTACTGGGGTGCTGTTGTTACTTTTGAAGTAAAGGAAACATGAGTAGTAGGTAGTGATAATTGTTTTGTGTTACATCTCATACTGTGGGACTGTAGTGTGTGGCAGTGCTCCAGATCCGTGATGGTGAGGCTGGAAATAAGGAAATGGCCGGGACCCCAGAATGGTACTGTAAGTGATATAACCAAGGAGTAGCCATTGACTGCTATGCTAAACAGGATGGAATAAACATTCAGGTACTTTTTACTTAAAACTTTAAACTTAATTCAATTCTTAATGTAGAAAAACAAAGCTGAGTTTATAGCAAAAGAAAATTCATTTGTCTCATATTTCTTGAATGTGAAGCTTTTCCTCTAAAAATAAGTGTTTAGATGAGGCTGATTGTAGACTTTTATAAAGCACATATGAAACTATTTTTGTTTTCAGAAAATGATTACTACAAACCAAAACTTAGTTATTTGTAGAATGCAATGTTCTCAGGGTTTACATTATGGAATAATAGCTTAAAACACTTTCTATCTTATGACAGTGATTCATTTCCTGTCTTTTTTGTAGAGTAAGACAGTTCAGTCCCTCTCAATTTCTGTAGTGATTTTACTTATTTTATTTGGTAGTAGTGGTGGAAAGTGAGAGTATTATGCATATAATAAACCTGGAAGAATATATAATGACATGTTAATAATGGTTATCTCTGGACAATAAGATTTTTAAGTCTTTCTTATACTTATAGTAAATGTATTTTGTAATAAAAAAATGAAGCTTATAAGGTTGCAGGTCTTCAGAATAAGATCATACGTATCTTGGGAAAAGATTAATAATTTTTCTATAATTTTTCTAAACTAGGCTGTTGAGGAAATCAACAGACAAGAGAGACAAAGGCATTCAGCTCTTAGCAGTATATTAAACAGATTAGAAAAATCTGAAATAGTGTTTATTTTGCCAAAAATGAGTATTAAAATGATGAGCAATAAAATCATTGAAGATATTTCACCTTCACTTAGGGAATCTATTATTAGATGAATAATGTTTGGTTTTAAATCAGGGGAGCCTGATTTAAATATGTCCAGGGCCATCCATATTCTTGATTTACTCAAGATTATATCGGTAGTTAGTGGCAGAGCTGGGATTGGAGTCCAGGTATTTTGCTTGCAAATAATTGTGCTCTCTCTAGCAAGCCGTGCTGCCCAGTGTATCTGTCTCTTCTTTGTAAATAGTTTTCTCTACCACAAACAACCCTCCTGTTCCCCCACATACTGTCTGAGCTCCCCTACTTTGGCCAGATTGAGACCCGTGGCACTCTGGGTGGGCTGTCATGTTCACACCAATATTCTTTAGACATTTGTTCAACATTTATTTGGGGTGATTGAGCTCTGGAATGGAGTTGGGGGTGGGGATGAGGAATGAGGAGGAGGACCACTAGAGGCAGTGCCCATTAGCAAAATAAAAGCCCTGCAGCTAACCAGAAGTTCAAAGACCAAGTATTGTTATTTGAACATGAACATACTTAAAAAGCCCTTAATCCCCTTCCTACCACCCCAAGCAGCTTATCAAAATATTCCTTCCAAGCATCTGTAGTTCTCCCCCTGAGAGAAGATCCAAGAAGTACAATTTTCTCGTTTCTTATATTCCATTAATGCCTTAGTTTAACATCCTGGTTGCCCACTCCTTAGTCTTCCTCTCACCCACTTCTTTTTTTTTTTTTTTTCTTGGTGAGGAGGATTAGTCCTGAGCTAACATCCGGTGCCAATCCTCCTCTTTGTTGCTGAGCAAGATCGGCCCTGGGCTAACATCCGTGCCCGTCTTCCTCTACTTTATATGGGATGCTGCCACAGCATGGCTTGATAAGCAGTGCTTGTGGGATCCGAACCTGCCAACTCCTGGCCGCTGAAGTGAGCACGCGAGCTCAACCACTAGGCCAGCAGGCCGGCCCCACACCCACTTCTTTTTTGAAATAGCCTTTGCCCAGCATCTTGTCAAATCATGTTCTCCTTATGCACCACCCAGTTCAAAGCCCGTTCTTTCCAAAGAGACTTCTTTGCACCCAGAACATTTCATCTTCCCAGCTTGATCTCTCCACATCTTAGCATCTGATGTCCATATATTGAAGAAAAAAAGTCTGTATGATTTTTCATTATATGGATATATCAATTTGTTCACTCCTTTATCAAAGAATGTATTTAGTTGGTTTTACTGCGTAATGACCTCAAAATCTCAGTGTCTTACAAACAACACACTTTATTTTTCTTGCTCACTGGTCTTTTAGTCACTTGGGACAGCTCTGCTTCAGGCTGTCGGTTGAGTTCAGGTCTGTTTCATGTTTCTCATTCTCTTTGGACCAGTTGTTCCCTAGGATGTGTTCTTCTTATGACAAATGACAGAAATGCAAGAGGGGAAGCTAACCACTGAGCACATTTAAAACCTCTGGACATGTCACATTCACTAACATTCCATGGCCAAAACAAGTCACATGGCCACACTCAACACCAGTGGATGGGAGGTATTGCTGTATTACCAGTGCTGTGTTGGTAAATGCTTAACAACTGGCTTTTCCAGGGGAAAAAAATAAAGCTGATTTGTAGCATTTGCTGATTTCTCTGGTGTTAAATACTTTCACCATGGCTGATTTTAAGATACCAAGGATTGGCTCGCAAAATTCCTAAACTTGAGCAATTAGCTCTTTGAGCAAGTATGAGCTGGCACAAGCCAGCTCTGCCACTGTATGGCAAAGAGTGCACATGTGTAATTCTGTTATAGAAGAGTCAAGAATTGGGGCAATCTTCTATCATAAACGTTTGGGTGGTTTAATTATTTTTTCCACTAAACATCACCATGATCAACATTCTGAAGTGTGCTTACATATCAGCAGTTAATCTTTTAGAATAAGTTGTGAGAAGGGGCATTCCTGAGTCAAAGTGTTTTTAAGACTTTTTGAGGCTCTTAAAGACTATTGCAAAATTGTGATAAAGTTGTACCAGTTTACTCTCCCGATAACAATTGTTATTAAAGAGCCCGATTCCCCATAACTTTACACATATATACTTGCCAGTGTGATAAATTGGAATGTCCTTGTTTTAATTTGAGATGTCATAAAGAGACATTCTTTTTGTTTTGTGAAATGCTTATTGGGCATGTTGGTATTTTTAAAAATTCATTTGTGACAGTTCTTTCTCTAAAGGATATTAATGATTAATTCTTACTGAGCACTTAGCACAAGCTAGGCATTGTATTAAGCACTTATGCATGCTTAATTTCATTGAATTTTATATCAACTCTGTGGTCTAGGTGCTATTTTCTCCCATTTTATGGATGAGTAGAAGGAGGCTTAAAGGTTATGTAGCTTGCCTGGGTTCACAAGTGGGCAGTAGCAGAATTAGAATTCAAATCCGTGTCTGACTTGAAAGGCTGTGTTCTTAACAGTCTTGTTGAAGTGACTCTCCATTTTGTCTATCATTTGTTTCAGTATTTTTTCCTAGGTTGTCATTTGTATTTTGACTTCATTTATAATGATGGTTCTCTCCCCTCTGCTCTCCCATTTAAAACTTTTCTCTAGTCATATCTACTGGTCACATTTTAAGTATTGGTGACTGAGTAAGCAAATCTGTTTATGTGAGGATCTTGTGACTTTATTCAGTAAAAGTTTACATTAGAATTTTCTGTACATCAGGTACTGAAGACAGGAAAATGAATTATGTCCTTGCCCTCAATGGAAGTAGGTCAGACAGGCAAATGAATTACCATCTACTGGTGTGCTGTCATGGTCTTGAAAAAAGTGCTGCAGGAGCCTGGAGGAGGGAGTAAATGTCTGCTTGGGAGGAGTGGGGAGGGCTTTATAGGTGGTAACATTTGAGGTGATTTTAAGGGAAGTTCAGCAGGGAGAACAAAGCAAGTGCGGGGAGTCTTGAAAAGGTGTGTTTTGGGAACAGAGTGGGGATTCCATGCAGTTGCTGCATCATTGTATGGAGTGGTGGGGGCAATAAAGCTGACTTAACAGGTTTGCTGTGAAAGAATTTGTTCCTGATTGTTCAAGTTTACAATTCCCCCTGTCCAATATCTAAAGACAACTATTTGTTAACATTTAGTATTTCCTTCTAGTATCCTTGTCTTTGCAAATGGTTTTTTTTAATATAGTTCTAATTTTTACTATGTTAACATTACATGTTATCATTTAGTGTTGAAAAACTAATTAAGTGAAATTTGCAAATTACTAGATTAAATAATTGCTTATAATCAGTACTTTATTTCAGTGTTTTCTTGCTGTTCATATGAAGTTGTTTAACACGTTTATTTTGCTAAATGCTGAAGATATAATAATGGATAAAGCCTACTCCCTGTTCTTAGGAGCACAGAGTCTGGTCAGACAGGAGAGTAAACAGGCAATTTCTTTTTTTATTTATTTTCTAAGAGGTAATACATGTGAATGGTACCATTTTTAAAACGAACAAAGTATACAAGAGTTTCATTCTTGTGTCTCCTATCTACCCAGTTGCCTTCCTCAGGGGCAACCATTATAGCTGTTTGCCCTGTATTATTCCAGGGATGAACTGTACTTAGACAAGTGTTTGTGTGCATGCACATGGGTATGTGTGTGGATTTAACACAATTAGTAGCGTACTTCCTATACACACTAGCCTACATTTTTTTTTCACTAAATATATTAACATTTCCCCATCTTAATACACAAGAGCTGTCCCATTCTTTATCAAATGTACAATATTCCATTATATAGATTACTATAAATTTAATGAATCAGTCCCCTGTTGATATATATATATATAGGTTAAACATTCAATATTTTTATTCACTGCTTTTTTTAATTTTAAAAAATTTTATTATACTTTTAAACATTCACAAAGTACAGAAAATATTATAATGCACCTCCACTTACCTAACACCCAGCTTTAACAACTATTAACAGATTCCCATTCCTCGTCTATTTCCCCTTGCTCCTCCTTTTTCTCTTGGGCTGGAGTATTTTTAAAGCAAAACCTAGACGTTATATCATTTCGTCTATAAATACTTTACTGTGTATCTGTAACAGATATGACAGATATGGACTATAAAAATCTTAATCGGGCCAGCCCCATGGCCTAGTGGTTAAGTTTGGCGTGTTCCACTTCGGTGGCACGGGTTTGGTTCTCGGGTATTGACCTATACCACTCATCAGCAGCTGTGCTCTGGCAGCGACCCACATGCAAAATAGGGGAAGATTGGCACAGATGTTAGCTCAGGGCGAATCTTCCTCAGCAAAAAAAAAAAATCTTAATCACAAACTATTAGAACACAGAACAAAATTAAAAAATTTTTAATATCATCCAATACCCAATTTTTGTTCGGTCCCTGATTGTCTCAAATGTCTTTTTATGGTTGTTTTGATTGAATCAGTATTCACAGAGGTTGACATGCTACATTTGGTTGATGTTTCTTAAGGTTCTTCTACTCTAATCCCTTATTCCTTCCTTTTTTTACTTCATGCCTTTCCTTGTTGTTCCATGTAATTTCTCTCAGAGGTCTAGATTTGGCTCACTACGTCCTCATGGTATCATTTAACGTTTTCTTTTATCTCCATATTGCTTGTAAACTGGTAGTTAGATCTAGGGCCTGATTAAATGCAGTTAAACTTCAACGTTTTTTTAAAAAAATTTTTAGCTTATGTGATTAATATGAATTTTATCAAGTCGCTTCTATAAAACATTTTGACAGTTGACTAACAAATAACAAACTAATTCCCAAATTTTAGTCTCTTAAGATGGTAGAAGTTTGTTTTCTATTCATGTAATAGTCTGATTCTAGTGTTTATCATCCTAACATAGGTGACTTTCCTCCCTCAGGTGATTCAAGGACCTAGAGTTCTTCTGCTTGATGTCTCTTCACCTCATGGTGAAGAGGTCTTTGAGTTCATCTGTATATACTTGGCAAGTGGGGAGAAAAGAGCATAGGGAAACACACCTACTTTGTGAATACCTGGCCTAGAAGTGATATATTCCACTGCCACTCACATTCCACGAGCAAGAACTAGCCACACAGCCCAGTGAGTTGCGAGAGGAACTAGGAAATGTAGCTTCCACTAGGGAGTCACTTCCCAGCAAGAACTCAATACTGCAGAAGGAAAGCACAAATTTTGATGCATATATCGTCATATATCCCTCCCTAGTAATGATGATAACAATATTTTATTAATATTTGCTTACTTTGTGCCATATATTGTTTGATATATTTAATATATATATAATTTAACATGCCTAAGATGGAGGAAATGTTATTGTACCTATATAAGGAAACAGGCACACAGGATGCTCCAGAATATTTTTTACAAAAGATTTTCTTATGATAGAAATTGTGTCTTTGATTTTTAATAAGAAATAGTAAATTTTATTTATATGCAATATTAAAATGGCATGTGTATATAAATATAGGTCAAAGAATAAAGATTTTATTAAAAAAATACTGGTTATATCATGAAGCAATACCTCATGCTTTTTTTTTTTTTTTTACAACCAATCCCGTTTTTAAAATTTTCATACATGAAATTATTTTATGACTAGTAAATGTTTTCAAGTGCTGTTTTTAACTGACAAATACTAGGAATTTGATTGCTGTATTATATGTTTCTATCATGTAAAGAGATAATTACCAAAGAGAGTGAAAAGTCAGTTTTCTCTGTATGCCAATACTTTTGATTTGGATAATTTTAAACTAAAGACTTTGATAATTTCCATTAGTCTGCTTTAGATTTGAGCAAACTAGCAAAGGGTTTACTATCTACTTGAGGATTGCGCTAGGTCATTATTCCAAGCGTTATTTTGGAATGACTGAATAAGATTTGAAAAAATGATGGTTATATTTTATAACAGATTGGTTAGAAGACACTTAGAGAACACACACATATTAAAAACTTGAAATCATTTTTTCTCTTTTCCATTTCTACACGTTGTCACCTTTGAACAACCTATCTGATTAAGCCCCTCCCTATAGGATATGTTCTCTGTAGAATGCAGCCAAATGCAAACCTAACTGATTCCATACACTATAAAATTATGAATGTTATAAATAGTAATGTTTAATTATTTGGTTGATATGATCAGTTATAGAATGACAGATGACAATGTGTAGAAATGGAAAAGAGAAATAATGATTTCATGTTTTTAATGTGTGTGTTCCCTTAAATGTCCTTTTTCCTTTTTTTTTTAAGGAATTCTTTATAGGTAGTGCTGTGTCCCTGCATCACTTCAAGAGGCATCTAAAGTTTGGCTGTGTCACCTCTAGTCGTGTTAAGATTGATCAGTGGGTTCAGGTGTTACTAGTCTGATCTTTCATCATAAAGTTCTTCATCAGCCTTTTAGTAGTAGTTGGTAATCATTGATAATCCATTATTTTATGAATTGTTAGAAAGTGGTAATTTCCTAGTCTATCATACCTCTTCTGTTTGTTAGCTGTGCTTGTATAAAGAACTTTCTCTCATCATTTTATTATCCTAAAATACAATTCATTCAATAAAGGCCTGATAAATGCTGGATTCTTTATCAAGTTTCAGAGTAGTACGTTGGTGCCATAGTAACCACCAAAGGTGATGAATGAGGTTTGTTTTTTTTTTTTTTTTTTTTTTTTAGCGTGTCAGTGTAAACTTATGGCTTTTAAAGTATTTGTCTTTTGGCCTATGGCATATCTGTCTACTGAATGAATGTAGTCATTCATCTTGATACTCATATTGTCCCATCTTTGGTCAATGGGAGCCTGTTCAATTTTTCTGCTATGTTGTTTGAATGATTTGAGTAATTTTTGATAATGTCAAAACTCATGCATGACAAGATGTCTCAGGCTCATCTTGACCCTATTCCTAGGGAACCCTGATAAGAAATAGTATTTAGAGTTTAGAATTTTTATGGTGCTTTTTTGTCTTTGGGATTTATCCTGCTAGGAATGTACAGTTAAAATACTGTGTTTTGAAGTCAGTAGAATAATAATTCTCTGTGTGGTTATGTTATGAAACTTGATACATAAGTTCATGTATTTGTTTCTTTGAATTTTCTTTATGTCTTGTTAGTTTTTCTTTTTGATTTAGCTTTTTTCTTAATGGCACAAAACATTTCTATGGTTCCAGTCTCTAATCTGTAAAACAACATATATTCAGAGAGGCCTACTTTAATTTTACTCCCTCGTCCTGTCCTCTCTCTCCCTGTAATAGGTAACTACTTTTATTATTTTTTTGGTTTATCCTTCCCCTGTTTCTTTGTGAAAATTCAAGAAAGTGTGTATACATACACTATATATATACACACACACACACACACACACACACATACATGTATGTATATGTGCACACACATATAAATATATCCTTCTCATTCTAATATGAAAGGTAGCATATTATATGTATTCTTCTGTACCTTGTTTTTTAACAAAATAACACTTAGAATATCCAGGAGATCACTCCATAGGAGTAAATAGAGATCTTCAGTCCTTTTTTTCATCTGTATACTAGTTCACTAAGTGCATAAACTATGACATCCAGTCTCCTATTGCTGAATATTTGAGTTATTTCCAGTCTTTGCTGTTACAGATAGTGTTGTGATGAATAGCTTTGGGCATATATCGTTTCACATTTTTGCCGGTTATATTTAGGATAGATTCCTAGGAGTAGAAGTGAGTCAAAGTAGATGGATCAGAGAGTAAATGCCTTCATAGGTGTGGAATTAACAACAGGTGATGAGTGCTATGATAAAGTTCACTCTTTTTTAATCATAAACTGCTGTCCCTGTCTTCAGTTTCTCTGTGTTATTAGGGGAAGGAGGCGAGAGTGGAAGTAGGATGAGCATCTGGTTCCTAAGAGGGATGAGTATGTACAAAGGCTTAAAGGGCAGAGATGTGGAATTTGTTTTCCATTTTTCATATTTCTTTAAGCTAATTTTCAGAAGCATAATAACTCAGGCAGTTGAGTATAAGTGAACATTTCTAAAGGCATTTAATTTTGTAAAATGGTTTTTAAGGGCTTATTTCAATTTATCCTGCTAGCAATGAAAGAGTTGGGGTTCACTTGTACTCTTGTCAATACTGGGTATTGACAGACAAAAAAAAGCTGTCTTTATATTAATTTGCATTTATTTGGTGTCCTAATAATTTCCATTTCTATGAGTTCTTTATATAGAAAAGATATTCATTACTATTTATTGCAAACATTTTTTTCTAAGCTCTGTCTCTTTAAATTTTATGCTGTCAAATATGTTGATTGCTTTTTTTGTGCTTTCTTCTATTGCTTATAAGTTAGGAAATTCCTCCTCCTTCCAAAGGCTTGGTAAATAGTTACAGTTTCTTCTAGATTTTCTGTGGCTTAACTCTTAATACTTTGTTGTAGTCCACTTGAAACTTATTTGAATATTTGGAATGAGGTGAAGCTTTAAACTCCCTTCCCCCCTACCACCAGTTTGGTAATCACTTTTCCCAGCACCAAATAATAATTCTCTATCATGTTGCTTAATGATGCATCCTCTACAATATATTAAATTCTTATGTAATATGTTTAATTGATCTATTACTATATATTTTAATAACAACTTTATAATTTAGTATCAAATAAGTGCTTTATTTCTTGTTTTCTGGAGAGTTCCAAATGCATAGCATCTTCTCTGAAGGATAATTAACACCACTGAAAGTTGTAGCATACCAAATTGGGCCTGAAATGTATCTTAGCAGTTACACAGTCCAGTAGTTTTTAACTTATTGAGGAGAAAGGGAGGATGCATGTTGGAATCATCTAGGAGAGTTTATTAATTTTTATTTTTGGCAACATATTTTTGATAATCACCTTATGTTCTCAGCTGCAATATGGTGAGATGAGAAGCTATAGGAATTTTTTCTAAGTGATTGTTAGTGGCCTTTTCTTCCCTTGACCTTTAAAAACAGTGACAAAGTCCAGCCTTCCCATTTTACAGTTGGAGTAATGGACTTGTGTGAGGTTATATTTCTTCTTAGTAGAAGAGATTGGTGGAGCTCTACTTTCAGGGGGATAGGTTTTTTCTTAGTTGAGAATACGAAGAAAATTTTAAAATATACAACTAGATACAGACTCATATTGTCGCTAATACTTGATTTAGGTCGTTTTCAGAGTCACTCAGATGCATCGGCTCACTGGTGGAAATGCCGAGATCTTTATACAAATGTTTTATAATACTTCTCTGCTCCAGTGGTATGGCTTTCTCTCCAGGTTTGATCACTAATTGACATCTTTTTAAAGAAATAGCTGGGTTAAGGTTCTTTTCCTCTTCTACAGGACTTGTTTACAAGAGCTGGGAGGAACTTCCATGGAGGCTTCTCTGCTTTTCTTTCTTAATTCAGTTTGTGGGAAAGCTTGGGAAGTAGGGGGGAGGGCTATATTCAGGAGGTTGAAGGATGTTCTGAGGATAGGAGCCACTGTATGGCTCCCATTACTCCTTCAAGGATGAGGAAGGTTCAGGTAATATGTAGGGGAGTTGGTGCCTTACTTACACCAAGTTGCTTTAAGTACAGTCTGTTGATAAATTTTAGTTTCCCAAGCTCTTCTAAATTAGGTTTCTATAATCACTTATTACCAATTGTATGTTAAAAGTCTTTAGAATATAAAATTAGAGTTCATGAATTTGTTAATTATTCTTGTCTCACTCTGGGTAGACCAAACTGTTATCAGCTAAAGGTAAAATTTAAGTAATATGAAGAAAAGGAGAGTTAGAAAATTCACAAATTCTGTGTTTACTTATATGTTCATCTGTGATAGTTGTCTTGATGTATGTGAATTACACACTTTGGAATCATGTTCAGAGTTAGGGGTAGGGGAGAGTAAAAATAAAAATAGCTAACATTTACTGAGTACAGACTAACAACCCTATGGGGAAGATTCTGTTATTAGCCCCATCTTAGAGATGAGGAAACTAAGGCATAGAGAAGTTAAATATGACCTTCCACAAATTTTAGGAATTAATAGAAGTTTAACCTACTTTAGAAATGCCTACATTTCTAATTGAGAAATTAGAAATTTATAATATTATTATAATAATATTTATAATATTCATTTTTTATTTTACAGCTGGTAGCTGCTATATGTTTCATTACTAATGTAAAATATCATTTTTCTAGTTCCCCCATTCCTCAGAATATTTTGTCACAAAGTTTATTTTAGGCCTTTGGTTCTTAAGGAGAATGTACTTAAAATGTAATGAAAGTATTTTTGGCCTTTTGTACTGAAATGAGAAGATAGCAAATGTTCAGGCTTGCCACACGTTTTGTGGATGATATACTTTATTTTCCTGTTAAAACTGGGCTGAAATGTTAGTTCTATATATTTGGGGTCAAGGTCATCTTATATAAGCCATAATGTCTTATTTGAAGAATATTGAAAATAAGTATTTTTCTTTTCAGTAAGATTTAATACATTTTGTCAGTGGATGACTTGCAGTTCAGATATGAAAATTTAGAGAAAATGCTTTCAACTTCTAGAGCATTAAAAGACATTTCTTTATCTCTTTATTGCAGAAATGTGGACAACCAGCTCCCTGGGCAAGCTGTCCCAGCGGGGTTCCCAGTGTATCCCGCTTTCAGCCCCCTGCAGATGCTGTGGTGGCGACAGATGTATGCTCACCAGTATTACATGCAATAGTAAGTGGAGTTGAGTCCCTTTTTTTACTCACTCTTCTATTTGCTTTATTTTCTCTTTCATCGTAAGTAAGTTGATTTGGGACTTCATTTACTCACGTATTTCATTGGTTTTTAAAAATTATAATGAGAAGGATTTTGCAAACATCTCGGTAGATACTTTATTTTAAATTACTTGGCTAAAGGAAAAAAGTTCACATCCAGTTCACATCAGCTAACCCTACTCTCTGCTTCTCCCTCTCTCCCCTAATTATATTTAGCAGTATTCAGATGCTTTCTTTAATATAACATTTTATCTATTTAAGAGGAGAAAGCTTAGGGAAGTTTCACTGGAAGTCAGCAAATCTACATGAAGAGCTAGGAAGTTGAATGAAAAACGGAACAGAAAGAATCATATGTCAAGGAGGCTCATACTGATGTAGGGCTCAGTTGTGGCTAATATGCTTTCTGGACTGCCAGTATTTTAGTAAGTCTTGTTTCTGGTCAGCATGGAACAATCCTAGCACAGAGTACTTTCTCAGCCTTCATTCTTCTGGACTATGCATTCATTTACCATTTCTCGCTTCTCTTTAATGTTTTCCTCTCCTTGTTTCTGTTATCCTCTTCATTCTTTTTATCTTTCTGATCACTCACTTGTGTCCTTTGATAGCCCGTTTTCCCCCTTCTTCTAAATGGTAACATTTTTTGTTCAGTTAGACAGATATTTGTGTATTTACCATGTGCCTTATGGCACTCAGTCTGGTGAGGAAGACGGGATTCATTCCTGGGCCAGTCCTCTTGGATTTCTTTCTTCCATGGCCTTAGTTGTTAGCTCTCTGTGGATGACTCCCAATTCTTTATCTCTTGTGCTTCATCCTATATCTCCACTTAATTGCTGGAAGATTTCCATAAGGAAATTTGCCTTTCTCCTAAATTCAGTATGTCTAAAATTTGACTCCTCCATCCTCTTAAGTGCTTCTTTGTCAGTGACACTGTCTCTTCTTAATCATCCTCTAAGCTCTTAACCTTAATCAGCTTTGATTCTGGCTTTTGTTACCCCTGAACCCAGCAACTTACCAAAATGAGTTAATATGTTGTTTCTTGCTTCTGTCCTTCCCCTATATCTTACTTCCAATGTTTTGCCCAGGTCTTTTCTCATTTTAGACCTGCTTTACTACAATCACTCTTTCTCCTTTTACTCTCTTTACTATATTTACATCGCACTGTTGCCAGGTTAACTTTCTTAACATGTAATTGAGTCAGTCGTTCCGCATCTTCCAAAATATCTGATGGCTTTCTTGCCTATAGTGTGAAGTCTGTGTCCTTATCCTTACTCCAGACTTTACCCTATAAAGCTAACCTGCTTTATGAACCTCATATCCTAATGTTCTCTTGCATAACTCCTTGGCTCCAGGCCAGCTGTTTGTTCCTTACCTGTTGCCATGGTAATAGTTATCATTTGAGTGAGTGCTTTGTGCTTAGTACTCTACTAGATGCTTTACACCCCTTGTCTCATTTATAACCTCACAAGAACTGTGTAAGCTAAGTGGGGCTTACTATAGCTCTCTACTAAATCCTATAATCTTATGGACATCATTTAACTTCTGAGCCTCAAGTTCTCACCTTAATGAAATAACTCACCTATGAATTAGAATATCCATGATGTAGAAAATGTTTTTGGAAACTAAAAAGCCCTATACAGATACAAGGTGTTAGCATACTGGCTTAAATAGCTTTTTGTAGCCTGAGGATCTTCTATTTTATTTTATTTTGCTACCTTGATTTTTTAAACTTTTTATTATAGAAAAATTTCAGCATATAAAAAGATACAGAGAATAGTAAAATGAATCCCTGTGTACTCATCACCCAGCTTCAACATTTGTCAATTAGTGGCAGTCTTGTTCTACAACTTTCCCTCCCTTTGCTGGATAACATAAAGCAAATCTCAGATATATTATCATTTTACTGGGAGCCTTTTACAGGAAAATTTATTTTGACTTTCAAGCAATCAAATTATTAGCAAACTTCAGGACCACAGTTCTTCATAAGTTTACAAGGACCTATACTAGTGGTCCCCAGGTGGAGTTCCTAAAAGTCAGGATTGGGGCTGAACGGTTGTCATCTGGCATCTAGTTAATATTCTATTTTATTTATTTATTTTTTTGTGAGGAGGACCAGCCCTGAGCTAACATCCAATGCCAGTCCTTCTCTTTTTTGCTAAAGAAGACTGGCCCTTGACTAACATCTGTGCCCATTTTCCTCTACTTTATATGGGACGCTGCCACAGCATGGCTCGACAAGCAGTGTGTTGGTGCGTGCCCGGGATCCGAACCGGCGAACCCCGGGCCACTGCAGTGGAGCGCGCGCACTTAACCGCTTGCGCTACTGGGCTGGCCCCTAGTTAATATTTTAAAATACTGATACAAATCATTTATCACTGACAGTGGACACACAGATAATGATCAATGGACGTTTTTAGACAGCTCTTTCAAAACATGGGTCCGAGGGGAAGGTGGTGAGTGTGGCGGTATTCATCCCATGTAGGGCTGTGAACAAAAGGGGCCGTTAGTGAATAGGTTTGGAAAAAGATATGGTCATTACCTTATAAAGTAATTTAGTGAAAAAGAGAAAAGAGAGTGATTAACATGGCTGTTCTTATCTTTTCCACCTCTCCCCTACCATCTTAGACTACCAGGCTCAGAGAACATCCTTTCCTGAGCTACTCCGACCATCAGTCTTGGCTCCACTTTTCCACTGGGATTTGTGCTTACCTAAGAAATGTGTGCAGGAGTCCTGATATTCCATATTAGGTTTATGAAAAATACATATGGCTCCCCAGGAACTTTTGAAAAATATAATATAGTATGATAAAGTTTTTTTTTCTTTTTAATATTTATTTTGGTGAATATTTCAGTCAAGCTGCAGTTTCAGCTCAGGCCACATCAAATGCCAACCCAGCCGAGCCTTCTGCTTCACAGCCTCTAAATTTGGCACATGTTCCTGGAGAAGAACCCCCACCAGCTCCAAACCTAGTGGCCCAAGAAAATCGACCCATGAATGAGAATGTTCAAATGAATGCACAGGGAGGTCCAGTGCTGAACGAAGAAGACTTCAATCGAGACTGGCTAGACTGGATGTACACGTTCTCACGAGCTGCAATTCTCCTTAGCATTGTATACTTCTATTCTTCTTTTAGTCGGTTTATCATGGTAATGGGAGCCATGCTACTGGTTTATTTGTGAGTGATGTTCATTAAATTTCTGTGGTTTCTTTTAATTACTTTCTGAAACGGTTCAGCACAGAATCTAGCATGTGGTAGTCTGTTGTGAACGTTGAGTGAAGGAATATGAACGTTGAGCTTCAGATATCTGGCACCAAAAGCGAAGCAGGTTATGTTGAATAAGAATGTTTATAAGAATTGTCTAGAAGCAGATTTTTCCTTTACTGTCTTTTATAAAAATTGTTAATTCAGTTAGACATGCTCTCTCAATTGTTTAGAACTTGAGGAAGTGTATGATGTACTGTTGCATAAGGATGTTCTTTTTAATTATAGTTATCACAGTAAGTCCTATAGATATAGGTCAGATTTTTTTTCAGAAGTAGACTAACTTTCCCTTGCTCCTCCTTTCC